CTGAATGTTTAAACTCGTTGCATTTGGAGCAATGATATACTTAAATTACTTTAAAAATGCAGGAACTATCGTATTCAGTAAATAAGTGACTAGATTTTATAATTCTGTCTAGCTGACGTTATATAGCATCTTCCTTCGGATCCGATCTATATTAGTGCGAGACAATTACACATTAGAAAAAATTTGCTGCGACAAATTCACGAATAAAAATACATCAAATACAAATACATCAAATTAACGCCTGGTTAAACAACAGTGAGTCAAATTAGCTCAGTTAAAAAAGAGCAGGACAAATTAGTGCGTTCGTGACAAAATATTCTAGTTATCTAATTAAAATTAAAAAAAAATTAAGTAATTTACTTAACCTGTGCGACCTGAAGCCATCGCAGGGTTGCTTCGATTAAAATTGTACATTAAATCAGAAAAATAAAAAAACTTTAGGTATATAATTTACCTAACCTGGGCGGCTTTAAGCCATAGACAACAAAAAAGTTTAAGATTTGTAAAGAACTTTGTTATTCAATAGAGGATCAGTTGGTACAATTTAGAGCTTGTCATGATGAAATGTCTTTCATATTTGTAGTGTTTTTCTTCTTCTTCTTCTTCTTCTTTTTCTTTTTCTTTTTCTTTTTCTTTTTCTTTTTCTTTTTCTTTTTCTTTTTCTTTTTCTTTTTCTTTTTCTTTTTCTTTTTCTTTTTCTTTTTCTTTTTCTTTTTCTTTTTCTTTTTCTTTTTCTTTTTCTTTTTCTTTTTCTTTTTCTTTTTCTTTTTCTTTTTCTTTTTCTTTTTCTTTTTCTTTTTCTTTTTCTTTTTCTTTTTCTTTTTCTTTTTCTTTTTCTTTTTCTTTTTCTTTTTCTTTTTCTTTTTCTTTTTCTTTTTCTTTTCTTTTTCTTTTTCTTTTTCTTTTTCTTTTTCTTTTTCTTTTTCTTTTTCTTTTTCTTTTTCTTTTTCTTTTTCTTTTTCTTTTTCTTTTTCTTTTTCTTTTTCTTTTTCTTTTTCTTTTTCTTTTTCTTTTTCTTTTCTTTTTCTTTTTCTTTTTCTTTTTCTTTTTCTTTTTCTTTTTCTTTTTCTTTTTCTTTTTCTTTTCTTTTTCTTTTTCTTTTTCTTTTTCTTTTTCTTTTTCTTTTTCTTTTTCTTTTTCTTTTTCTTTTTCTTTTTCTTTTTCTTTTTCTTTTTCTTTTTCTTTTTCTTTTTCTTTTTCTTTTTCTTTTCTTTTTCTTTTTCTTTTTCTTTTTCTTTTTCTTTTTCTTTTTCTTTTTCTTTTTCTTTTTCTTTTTCTTTTTCTTTTTCTTTTTCTTTTCTTTTTCTTTTTCTTTTTCTTTTTCTTTTTCTTTTTCTTTTTCTTTTTCTTTTTCTTTTTCTTTTTCTTTTTCTTTTTCTTTTTCTTTTTCTTTTTCTTTTCTTTTTCTTTTTCTTTTTCTTTTCTTTTTCTTTTTCTTTTCTTTTTCTTTTTCTTTTTCTTTTTCTTTTTCTTTTTCTTTTTCTTTTTCTTTTTCTTTTTCTTTTTCTTTTTCTTTTTCTTTTTCTTTTTCTTTTTCTTTTTCTTTTTCTTTTTCTTTTTCTTTTTCTTTTTCTTTTTCTTTTTCTTTTTCTTTTTCTTTTTCTTTTTCTTTTTCTTTTTCTTTTTCTTTTTCTTTTTCTTTTTCTTTTTCTTTTTCTTTTTCTTTTTCTTTTTCTTTTTCTTTTTCTTTTTCTTTTTCTTTTTCTTTTTCTTTTTCTTTTTCTTTTCTTTTTCTTTTTCTTTTTCTTTTTCTTTTTCTTTTTCTTTTTCTTTTTCTTTTTCTTTTTCTTTTTCTTTTTCTTTTTCTTTTTCTTTTTCTTTTTCTTTTTCTTTTCTTTTTCTTTTTCTTTTTCTTTTTCTTTTTCTTTTTCTTTTTCTTTTTCTTTTTCTTTTTCTTTTTCTTTTTCTTTTTCTTTTTCTTTTTCTTTTTCTTTTTCTTTTTCTTTTTCTTTTTCTTTTTCTTTTTCTTTTTCTTTTTCTTTTTCTTTTTCTTTTTCTTTTTCTTTTTCTTTTTCTTTTTCTTTTTCTTTTTCTTTTTCTTTTTCTTTTTCTTTTTCTTTTTCTTTTTCTTTTTCTTTTTCTTTTTCTTTTTCTTTTTCTTTTTCTTTTTCTTTTTCTTTTTCTTTTCTTTTTCTTTTTCTTTTTCTTTTTCTTTTTCTTTTTCTTTTTCTTTTTCTTTTTCTTTTTCTTTTTCTTTTTCTTTTCTTTTTCTTTTTCTTTTCTTTTTCTTTTTCTTTTTCTTTTTCTTTTTCTTTTTCTTTTCTTTTTCTTTTTCTTTTTCTTTTTCTTTTTCTTTTTCTTTTTCTTTTTCTTTTTCTTTTTCTTTTTCTTTTCTTTTTCTTTTTCTTTTTCTTTTTCTTTTTCTTTTTCTTTTTCTTTTTCTTTTTCTTTTTCTTTTTCTTTTTCTTTTTCTTTTTCTTTTTCTTTTTCTTTTTCTTTTTCTTTTTCTTTTTCTTTTTCTTTTTCTTTTTCTTTTTCTTTTTCTTTTTCTTTTTCTTTTTCTTTTTCTTTTTCTTTTTCTTTTTCTTTTTCTTTTTCTTTTTCTTTTTCTTTTTCTTTTTCTTTTTCTTTTTCTTTTTCTTTTTCTTTTTCTTTTTCTTTTTCTTTTTCTTTTTCTTTTTCTTTTTCTTTTTCTTTTTCTTTTCTTTTTCTTTTCTTTTTCTTTTTCTTTTCTTTTTCTTTTTCTTTTTCTTTTTCTTTTTCTTTTTCTTTTTCTTTTTCTTTTTCTTTTTCTTTTTCTTTTTCTTTTTCTTTTTCTTTTTCTTTTTCTTTTTCTTTTTCTTTTTCTTTTTCTTTTCTTTTTCTTTTTCTTTTTCTTTTTCTTTTCTTTTTCTTTTTCTTTTTCTTTTTCTTTTTCTTTTTCTTTTTCTTTTTCTTTTTCTTTTTCTTTTTCTTTTTCTTTTTCTTTTCTTTTTCTTTTTCTTTTTCTTTTTCTTTTTCTTTTTCTTTTTCTTTTTCTTTTTCTTTTTCTTTTTCTTTTTCTTTTTCTTTTTCTTTTTCTTTTCTTTTTCTTTTTCTTTTTCTTTTTCTTTTTCTTTTTCTTTTTCTTTTTCTTTTTCTTTTTCTTTTTCTTTTTCTTTTTCTTTTTCTTTTTCTTTTTCTTTTTCTTTTTCTTTTTCTTTTTCTTTTTCTTTTTCTTTTTCTTTTTCTTTTTCTTTTTCTTTTTCTTTTTCTTTTTCTTTTTCTTTTTCTTTTTCTTTTTCTTTTTCTTTTTCTTTTTCTTTTTCTTTTTCTTTTTCTTTTTCTTTTTCTTTTTCTTTTTCTTTTTCTTTTTCTTTTTCTTTTTCTTTTTCTTTTTCTTTTTCTTTTTCTTTTTCTTTTTCTTTTTCTTTTTCTTTTTCTTTTTCTTTTTCTTTTTCTTTTTCTTTTTCTTTTTCTTTTTCTTTTTCTTTTTCTTTTTCTTTTTCTTTTTCTTTTTCTTTTTCTTTTTCTTTTTCTTTTTCTTTTTCTTTTTCTTTTTCTTTTTCTTTTTCTTTTCTTTTTCTTTTTCTTTTTCTTTTTCTTTTTCTTTTTCTTTTTCTTTTTCTTTTTCTTTTTCTTTTTCTTTTTCTTTTTCTTTTTCTTTTTCTTTTTCTTTTTCTTTTTCTTTTTCTTTTTCTTTTTCTTTTTCTTTTTCTTTTTCTTTTTCTTTTTCTTTTTCTTTTTCTTTTTCTTTTTCTTTTTCTTTTTCTTTTTCTTTTTCTTTTTCTTTTTCTTTTTCTTTTTCTTTTTCTTTTTCTTTTTCCTTTTTCTTTTTCTTTTTCTTTTCTTTTTCTTTTTCTTTTTCTTTTTCTTTTCTTTTTTTTTTCTTTTTCTTTTTCTTTTTCTTTTTCTTTTTCTTTTTCTTTTTCTTTTTCTTTTTCTTTTTCTTTTTCTTTTTCTTTTTCTTTTTCTTTTTCTTTTTCTTTTTCTTTTTCTTTTTCTTTTTCTTTTTCTTTTTCTTTTTCTTTTTCTTTTTCTTTTTCTTTTTCTTTTTCTTTTTCTTTTTCTTTTTCTTTTTCTTTTTCTTTTTCTTTTTCTTTTTTTTTTCTTCTTCTTCTTCTTCTTCTTCTTCTTCTTCTTCTTCTTCTTCTTCTTCTTCTTCTTCTTTTTCTTCTTCTTCTTCTTCTTCTTCTTCTTCTTCTTCTTCTTCTTCTTCTTCTTCTTCTTCTTCTTCTTCTTCTTCTTCTTCTTCTTCTTCTTCTTCTTCTTCTTTTTCTTCTTTATTCTTTTATTGGGCTATGTTCTGGAGAACAATTTACCCAGACACTCATAGGATTCCAGAAAACTATTTACAAAAGTTAATATTAGTGTTAACCGATGTAAATGGTTTTAACAGGAGTACAACATACATTCATTTATTGTGTTCACAAAATAAAATAAAATTTATGTGTCTGATTTTTAAATGACTTTAATTCAAAAAAAATTGTTATGTAAGATATTTCAAATATTATGTTTCCGAGTAGGAAATTGCAAGATCTAACAAAATCAAGAAAAAAAAATTGGGGTTACTATTTAAAAAAATTGTCAATGACGTCACTGCCCAAAAATGGCAAGTAGGGGAAAAATTGAATTTTATTTAAAAAATTGCGGTTTGAGTAAACAAAATTGACCTGTCCGAGCATTTTTTCGAAAAACCAACTATTTCGAATTTATTCCTTTCATTTGAACCATACTGTATATAAGGTATTACAAATTAGTTTTAAAAAAGTTTTAAAACTTAATTAACAGTTTAAAATTTGATTCGTTGAGGTTATAAAGAATAGTATAAATATTAAAAGGCGCAGGTAAACCAATTTTTCACCAGGACAATTTATTTATATCCGGCACTAACTTGTCTCAGTTTATTTATATCAGGCGACTTGTCTCACTTGATTTATATTTGAGGCGTAAATTTGTCGATCATGTATTTGTCTCGCAAAATTTATCGCAGCAAATTTTTTCGCGCGAAATTATCTCAGGCTAAAATGGTTAGGACCCCTCCTATTCATAACATCAACCGATTTTAAATATTATTTAAAAGATTATATTAAATAACATACCCATTACTAAGTATTCCATAGAAGTGTACGTTCTATCGAAGCGCATGTCAGATGTACTCGAACTGAAAAATTCTTGTAGTTTTTCGACAATCGGAACGGTTTTTTCTCCAATAAAATAATCTTGAGTGTTCGCATCTTTTAAATAGGTGTCTATCAAATATTGATAATATTCGTCAGCGGAAGCATCGATTCTTGACTCGGTAGCTGACATCGGTTTCTCCAAATAAGTAGTTTCCGTGTTGACGACTTTACATCGAGCCAATTCGCCCAATGTCGGTATGGCTATTTTCTTTTCCGACATCGTTTCAATAGTGTTAACCTAGACGAGAAAAACATACCAACTGAGCTGTTAACTATGCGGCATATAACTTTAACCTAATGATCTCCATTATTGTACTCATAACAAAATAAAGTTTTGCAATATTTTTTTCATTTAAGTTTATTTTTATTTTAATTGACATAATATTATGCAGTGCATTGAATTACTAATAAAAGTAGCTTTAAAATAAAGTGTCATTCTTTGCATGAGGCAACAAATACACTTTTTTACCTAAGGATGCCACATTATTACTATGGTAGTCCTACATTTACGAAATATCTGATTAAAAAAATTAAATTAAAAACTTACATTGAGTTTTGACTATTTTCGAAATTAAAGGTATTCTAATGGAATAGAGAAATGTAACTAATTTGTTTTTGTCAAATATTTCGGAAACCGACCATGATACTTTAATTTAAAAAACGTCATCAAATAACTACATTTTTACTGTGAATAAAGCGCAAACACTACTAATTTATTGCAGTTGCAACTTGACAATTTGTAAGTCTAAACGAGACCACACTTAGATTTTTGTTATTCGTAAATATCCTTACCATGGCGATGTTTATGCAAGTACGAGAAAGAAAAGTTTATGGTGAAAGAAGATTAGTGACAAGATGTAAAGAACTGATGCGTTTTGAGAATGAAAGTATTAACTTGTTAACAACAGAATTTTTGCCAGACAGTAATGAAACTCTAGGAAAAGCTCTGACTCCAAGAAATCGCATGTTAATATTTTTACCCTACGTTGCTGACCCCCGGTTTTCAGAGTGGAGTATCTGAAGATTTTGGAGTGGAACGCTCATCAGTAAGTAAAACTATAAGCTGTGTTATGGATCATATTCTGGAAAAAGCACATAATTGGATCCATTTCCTTAACACAGTTCAAGAGATAAATAATGCAAAATTGTTTTGGCAGACACGGTTTGATTTACCAAACGTTGTGGGGAGCGTTAGTTTGTACACATGTCAGATAAAAAAGCCTTTTGCTTTTGGTGATGAGTACATTAATTGAAAAGGTTACCCCAGTATTAATGTTCAAGCAACGTGTGATGCACAAGAAAGGGTTACAAGCATTTGCGCAGATTGGCCAGGATCAGTACATGATTCAAGAATCTGGCGGCGTAGTGAAATTCGTGACATCATTTCTCAGTATGACGGTAGAACTCGTTTTCTTGGTGATTTCGGCTACAGTATAGCTTCAAGGCTTATTACGCCTTTCAATCTAGCTCAAACTGCTATTGAAAGAAGATTCAATCGCAAACACGCTTCAGAAAGAGTCATAATAGAAAGAGTATTTGGTCAGCTAAAAAAAAGGTTCTCCATCTTAGGAAAATGTGTGCGAGTATCACTGGAGAGAGAACCTAAGCTTGTAGCAAGCTGTGCAGTGCTCCACAATGTCGCGAACATCTTAAGGACAAATTTGACTTTAAGGAACTGGTAGATGAAGAAGATCACGATGGATTAGAAGAGGGAGTTGACGGTTATATACATGAGAACAATGCAACAAAGGGCCGTGGTGAACAGAAGCGAGATGAGATGCTAATTTGTATTTAAATTCTAAATTATTATACAATAAAACGCAAAAAAATGTAAAAATTTATTATAAATAACTATAAATGTAAACACATAAGTATTTTCATGAGACGAAAAAATCAAAAACAAGCAAAAACATGAGCTAGAAAAAACCTATTATAGGATTTTCTTCTTAATAATGTATTTAGAGAAATTTGTATTTTTCAAATAAAATGTGAACTCTGAAATATTGTAAGGATAGAACTTAAAATTGAATTAACACAAAATAAACTTTATTAAAATTAATTAAAGATTGACTGGCCAGTTGGTTTTGAAACCAGTGCCAAACAGAAATACATACACACACACACACACACACACACACACACACACACACACACACACACACACACACACACACACACACACACACACACACACACACACACACACACACACACACACACACACACACAAATGAGATATAGGAAAGAGCGGCTCCCAAGGCCTCTGGTTTGATCTACCGCCGCAACGCATCGAATATTTTATTCAACTAATTCAAGAACAATAACTGCATCTGTCTGTACTTCACTGTCTTTGGTGTTCATTTTTTCAAGTAACTCAAATTCTTTTTGTTCTTTTTTCATTTGAATTTTCTGCAGCTAAAATTGTTGAAAGAGAACGACTCTCTGCAGCTGAGAGGTTAATAGATCTCTTGTTTCTTCAGTTTCAAATGTAGTCATAATTTTAATGCCTGGTCTTACATAGCTAGGTTTATCTGCTTTTACATTACTATTTTCAGATATTTGAGGTGAAGAACTTGAAGTATGGGCATCCCAACTAATGTTATGCTTGAAACCGTCATCTTTTTTTGATGATTTTCCTAACGTCACTGCTCCTGGAATTTTAGTGAAAACAGGATTATTTTCTTTTGCACCAAATAATGCCAAAAATTGTTTCTCCCAATCTTTTAATTTTGTTTCCTGTAGCTTTAGTATTAGTTTTCTTTTTAATTACAGCTTTCATGTTTTGTAACATTTTATTTAATTGTGATGGGGTTACATCGATTCCGTTCACTTGAGAATATTCTTTGCAGACTATTTCCCATGATTCCTTTTTATGTTGAACATATTTTGGAATTCTAGATTTTTCCAGTAGCACTGGATGTTCGCTAATCAATTTCACAAACAAATCTCGGTCCACATTCTTCTTTTCAAACTCATCTTCACTCTCAGAAGACGACGTGTTTGTCAGAATAAAAAAAACAACCAACTAACTGAAAGAATACAAGACAAACAAGTCCGACCACGTGCTGCAGGAGTTAACAACTCTGACAGCGCCAAAGGAGAGGATAAGTTTAACAAGTAACGTAAATTTTAGTTACTGCTACTCCTTAGTTATAACTAGAGTATAGTTGTATCTCCTATTTTTCCGGTTAGCACTTAATCACAAGTACTAACTACTACCTAGTGTTAGCATTTATTTAATGACGTCGATTTTAGTTGACGCTATCACTGGATCCTAGATTCTACCACATATGTGCTACGTTTTATTCACATCACTGATTGTGTTACCCATGGTTTACGAGATTACAATACATTTCAATTAAAAAGTGGCTACTATGTATGTGCAGTTGCAAAAGTAATGAATTTTTTTTGTACTCTTGCCTACATCAAAATCCAAGTAAAATTTTTAGATTTATCAAAGTATATAAGATAACCATAAAATCCTTTTTTAAGACACTGATAAAACTTTTGAATCCGCGAGATAGCCTTAGGGCTGCTATAAATCTGCTTCAAGAGTAAAAGGGAGAATCCTATAACGGTTCTTAGGAGTATTTTTAAAACAATGTCTTAAAACTAATTAGAAATAAGTCAAAATCCGTAAGGGTATATTAAAAATTTTATTAAACCATTTTTAAATGTTTTTTTAAGAATATAATACAAGTGGGATAGGCATAAAAACTTTACAAAACTAATCAGTTTTAAGAGAATTAAATTTTAAACTATTTCACCCTTATTTATTTATCTGTCAGAATGATTTTGCAAACATTTTGGGAAGACTGCGATATTAGAAATTAATTATTATATAGTGTATGTTTAATTTGTTTGGTTACACTCGTTATTTCCTCAATTTTCAAAGTACTGTTAAAAGTGGACAAGGTGAGTTGTAATAAATGATGGGCCTTACAAAAATGAAATAATATAGGTACGGATTCTAATTTATTTGCCGAAAGTTATTTAATAGAAATTAACATTGTAAATATCGTATATATTAGGGTGCTTCATTTTCAGGCAATATATTTTTTTCTCTGTGCTACCTAAAAATCTAAAACTTTATAAAAAATTAAAAATTATGCCGCCGGGTAAAAGGTTCTAAATGCAATAGCGACTTAGCTCATTCAAAAATTCGATTTCCTTTTTAAATAACATAGCAAAAAATTTTTTTTAGGAAAAACCCGTGAATAGCTTTGTAGGGAATGAAATTTGCTACAAAAAGTTTTTCTGAGTAAATCTTCTCCAACTAACAGTTTTTGAGTTATAGAGATAGAAAGATGAATATTAATTATAGTTCACATCAAATCTTCTTTATGTTAAAACTTATTAACAATTATCAACAATTAATGCTAGTCAATACGATTGAAGAGCAAAAACTTCTGTTTACATCAATAGAAGTATAGACGAAGTCTAGAGTAGCGTCACTGTGGTTAGAAATGAAACTGAAAAATTTGAAAATTAGAGCATAAACAAAAATTTAAATTTTAACATATTGATAATTTGATTATATAATGATTATTAATTGAAATTTATATTTTTTAAATTAATTTCAAACTAGTTTTTGGAACTGAAAACCCGAATCACATTACGACTCGACTGTAGCGTCCTAATGTTTATAATAAGTTATTATTATATGTAAAAATAACAAATTTTAGTTTAAAGAAGATTTGATGCGAAATATAATTATTGATATTCATTGTTTAGGATTAGCATATTTATTGTAGTTAGTGTCTTCATGGCTCATTGTATTTAATCATAGCTACAAAATGTCCATGTCATGTAATTTTTGATAGAAAAATAAAAAGGTAGAAAACCGTCACACAGTTTCTTTCACATAATATTTTTATACAATAATAAACGCACACTAAGTTGAAACACATTCAACAACATTCATCTTTCTAGCTCTATAACTCAAAAACTGTTAGTCGAAAGGGATTGATTCAAAAAACATTTTGTAGCGAATTTTATGCCCTACAAAAGCTATACACGGATTTCTCCTAAAAAATTTGTTTTATTATCGAAAAATCAAATTGAAACCAAAAAAAAAATTCCTGTTATTTAAATGAGAAATCGAATTTTTAAATGAGCTAAGTCGCTATTACATTTAGAACCTTTTACCAGGCGGCAAATTTTTTTATTTTTTATAAAGTTTCAGATTTTCAGGTAGCACAGAAAAAAAATATTGCCTGAAAATGAAGCACCCTAGTATATATAGCACTTTAAAATGATAACATTTGTCTTCGAAATGTTTTTGATATAAAATATCACATTTTGTATTTTTTAAATTATTTTATGGGAGTGACTACCTAACCGCCAATATAAATCCTATTGTAGATTTTTCTTTGCAGGGATACTTGTCCTCGTCAAAAACCAATTGTAATTGCGCATACTACCTACTCTACTACCAGAAAAAACTTTGTGTTTAATTATAAATTACATTAGGCGAGACAAGAGTTGTAATATAGAATGTTCCAATATAAATTACATTTATATACTCTAAACCTAAAAGTATTAGCTGTAAATATATTTAACAAATTTGACATTATGTGGTTAAACGAAGTAAACGCAATCATAAATAATAAATCTACTGTGATAGGAGGTGAGTGGCTCAGTATTAGAGGGTCTGCCTGCGGATACAAGGGTCCCAGGTTCGAATCCCACCGTTGGCCGGAATTTTTTTATAAAAAGTAAATTTCACTTATCTGTAGCACATGTAACAGCAGCTATATTCACCAAAGTTTATGTCATAATCTCAGATCATCCAGAAAATAATGCCTTTTTCATTTTAAAAGTAACGATTATTAACAGAATTTCACTCTCTGAAGAGAAGAGATTAGATAAACTCCTTACAAAAGCCGAAATGGGTGATATAAAACGTTCAGATTTCTATAGGTAACTAATAAGATTTTCAGAGGATTCCATTATCAATGAAAATGTATTATTATAAATCTGGAGAAGGAGACTCCCAAAATTTATAGAGATATCCTTGACTGTATCTGGTAAGACTATAATCAAAGATCTACTAGATATAGCTGATAAAATCTGGGAATCGTCTTCGTCATCCAGCGTTTCTAATTACAATTACAACAGAGACGATATCAATAATTTTACTAAAGATAAGGATAATTCAAATTTGGCCCAAGCAATAAACAATTTAAACAATCATTTTCAAATTGTGATGAAAGAATTTAGTACAAAACAAGACGAATTAGAAATTAAAATTTATTCGTTAGAAAATAAAGTTTTCGATCACTTGTCTCGTAGGGATTCTAAACAAGGCTGCTCTTGTAGACATTCTTCAAGGTCTAAGAGCAGGAATAAACACCCTCGTAAATTCAATAAAGCAAATGAACCAACTGATCCTTTATGTTATTATCTTAGTAGATATAAAAAGGACGCATTCAAATGTGCAGATCCTTCTTGTTTAATGTACGACTTTTTTAAAATTTCAAATAAAAAAAAAAAGAGTAAAATCAACATTAGGTAGCACTTTCCCTTTTCGATAAAAATGACAATTTAGAATTTTTAGTAGATTCAGGAGCCGATATAAGTGTAGTTCAAAATAGAATTATTAAAGGTACAATGGATAAAGATTTTATTCTTTTTTCAGCTTCCGGAAATACAATAAAATAATTAAAATTGACACCTATGCCATACCCATTTAAAGGTCCAAGGTCATAGAAATCTCATTTCAAAATCCTTTGATCTTTTGCCGAGTTTCGCATCTGTTGTGGTTAATCTGTGTAAGGATATTAAACTTACCAACGCGTCTATAGCCGAACAAAGGTTCGTATAAACAATCAGGTATTTTTCTTGGTAAGGTATGGGCGAAGGTATCAATGAATTGGTAGAATCACTTTGATCTAACTCGGTCAACATTATTAATTTTCTCTGGTGCATAACGTTAGCGCCGATGACAATGTCGCTCATCAGATCAGCGTACGGATCGAATCCTTCTATATCGCGATCAGGGTTTAACTAAAAAAAGTATACATCATCACTAAATTAGTAAATGCATTGCATTTAGATAGCATAGTAGAAAAATCTCAATGCAACTTATCTTGGAGGACAATGGACAGTACCAATAGCTGTCAGCAAGATCCATCATGTCTTTGATAATTTTGTCGTCTTCTACAGAAGCATCGAACGGTTGTTAAAACCTAATAACAAAGGTAATGTCTCTATTTACTAATAGATGGACCCATAGTCGATTAACTATGAATATTTTTTAAAAATAATAATTTGATGTACATATTTATTTACGATTTATCATCACTTTAGAGAATATACCAATATTAATTTAAATTTGGCAATATATCCAAATTAATTAAAAAATTAAAAAGAAATTATATATATAGAATTATATACTCAATAATCGAGGGAGCTCTAGCACACGAGCCATGCTGATGAAGTTCTGTGCTTGTTCAAACAAATGTTGCGACAAGATTAACTCCAATGAAACGTCCATAATATTGTTTGTTCTACTAGAATATCTAAATACAATGGTATATGTAAAGTTTAATTAGAACTTAATATGTAAGGTAATGAGCGCGACGTATAAAATCGCGACCGCTTTGGTGATTCCAACTAAGTAACACGCCTTCTGTAAGACATAAGGTTTGTTCGGGTTTTTTTAAAACTTGATGCAAACCGTCCAAGAACCAGTGGAACAGTTAAATTTCAAATTATTCGTCTCGTAGAACTATTAAACTGTCCACTGCTCAACTAGTCCTCTGATAGTTCTCAGTGTATTTTTGAATAACCCGAACAGATCTATTATGTTTGTAAGTAGGTCTATTCTAGTCTTGCCAATACCTTTTTTAGGTACGAAATTTGTGTCTACTCTAGATTTATTTAAGGATTTTTATAAAATCCCTATAATTATAATTGATTTTTTTTTTAATTACCTTAAATTCTCTAGTAAAAATCTCTTGGCCATACTGGCGTTTTCGCTTGCGCCACTAGAGTGGGTGATGTAGTTTGAATTAATTTTTTTTAGGTTAAAAAATCCTTCACGGTTCAAAGGTTATTTTTTGCACCACAGGGACTAAAACATTGATTTTCCTCCCTCATTTTACTCAAATATTTTATTCTCAAGTGAGTAGAAACATCTCAGGATTGGTGGACAAATTTACTTGGACAAATACAGGATAGAAAGTTCTTAGGACTATCGCAAAAACTCGGGGAATACATAAAATACTAGAGTAAGAGTAAACCTATTAATAGGGCATTATAGGCTTAGCCTGAAAGAACTAACAGACCTAATGCCGATTGTTTTAGGAGGAGGAAAAAGTGATCTGGCGCATATCATGACAGTGTTGAGCACGTTTTCGAGAGCCGTGCGTTTTACATAATTTAAAGTGGTATTTCCGATTTCTGCAATAAAATAACCTAGCCACAGTCACATTGTCATATAGAGTGAATAAGTGCCATCGAATGCACTATCATAGTGAGAAAACCCATATTTATCTAGAAAAGTAAAATAACATCAAAAAGTGTAAGGAATTTTTTTAGCAGTAGACATGGTTGCCAAATACATCTGTAAGTACCTAGAAATAACTACGAGAGGCAGAAGTAACAGTTATACAAGTGTGCTTGATGAAAATATGATTGAGGCAGTAATCAAAAAATTAGGTCCAGAAATAACAGAAAATAAAGGAACCGTTAGTGATTTTGACTAACAAAATGGATATGATGGACGGTAAATTGAACAATGTTGTTAATAAATTATCTCAACTGGGGAATCGGGTACAAATTAATGAAAAAGAAACTATAGTGTGTCACAAAAAAATTAATGTATTTGAAAGTAAATATAGGCAAAATACTTTAAGATTTGACCTGCGTCATGTTAGCAAGTAGACAGCCAGCAATAAATTCAGGTGGAGGCTAAAGCGTCAGCGGTCTTACTAAATCTTTAACATCTTATTATTTTAAATTTCGACATAAAGAATATATTAAATCATAATTTGTTTTATTATAATTATTATTACCATTTCTTAAAATTATAATAAGGTATTTAGAGAGTGCTAAAGCTTTTATTACTAGAACGAAATGTGTGTTTTTCAAAAATGTATTTAGGCCATTCAATAGATAAAAAAAAACAATTTTTCAAATACAATTTTAAATGCTATATGGGTAATAAGAGATTTAACAAGCTTTGAAATTTCAGAGTTTTTATTGCTGAACCAAAATATAATTAAAAAAAATATTTAGGCCATTCTATAGATAATAAAAAACAAACAACTTTTTTAAATATCATTTTAAATGCTATATGGATAATAAGAGATTTAGAGAGTTTTTATTGCCGAACCAAAATGTAGTTTTTTAAAAAAATTATTTGGGCCATTCAAAAGATAATAAAAAACAAACAACTTTTTCAAATACCATTTTAAATGCTATATGGGTAATAAGAGATAGAGTGCTTTGAAATTTCAGTTTTTATTGCTGAACCAAAATGTATTTTTTTTAAATTATTTAGGCCATTCAATAGATAATTAAAAAACAAACAACTTTTTTAAATACCATTGTAAATACTATATGGGTAATAGAAGATTTAGAAACCTTTGAAATTTCAGAGTTTTTATTGCTGAACCAAAATGTATTTAAAAAAAAAATATTTAGGCCATTCAATATATAATAAAAAAAAACAAACATTTGTAAATACCATTTTAAATGCTACATGGGTAATAAGATATTTAGAGATCTTTGAAATTTCAGAGTTTTTATTGCTGAACCAAAATTTGTTTTTTTCAAAAATTTATTTAGCCTATTCGAAAGATAATAAAAAAACAAATGTATTTTTTCAAATACCATTTTAAATGCTATATGGATCATAGGGGATTTGAGATCTTTGAAATTTCAGAGTCTTTATTGCTGAACCAAATTGTATTTTTTTTTAAATTCCCTTATAACCCATGTAGCATTTAAAATGGTATTTAAAAATATTGTTTTTTTTTTATTATCTTTCGAATGGCCTAAATAAATTTTTGAAAAAAACAAATTTTGGTTTAGCAATAAAAACACTGAAATTTCAAAGATCTTTAAATCTCTTATTACCTATATAGCATTTAAAATGGTATTTAAAAAAGTTGTTTGTTTTTTTATTATCTATTGAATTGCCTAAATAAATTTTTGAAAAACACAAATTTCGTTCTGGTAATAAAAGCTTTAGCCCTCTCTAAATCCCTTATTATAATTTTAAGAAAGGGTAATAATATTTTCAATGCAACAAATTATGAATTAATATATTCGTTATGTCTAAATTTAAAATAATTAGATGTTAAAGATTTAGAAGACCGCTGGCGCTTTGGACACCACCTGAATATATTGCTGGCTGGCCACTTGCTAACATGACGCAGGTTAAGATTTGTGGGTGTTCCTGAAAAAGAAAAAGAGAATTTAATTTCTAAAATTTTAAATATAATTAATAACGTACTGAAGGTTAAATGCTCGGATTGGGAAATAAATAATATTTATCGATCTGGAAAATTCGATAACAACAAGATCAAACCAAGACAAATTATAGTTATTTTTATATCACCATAAAAACAAATATTATTTATGGTGCCAGATCTGCTTTCAAAGACACGGATATTTTTATTAACGAAGAACTCGGTGAAAAGTCTTATAATTTGTTAATGGCAGCCAAGATGAAGAAATATACAGCTTTGTCTCGAAATAGTAGAATTTTTGTAAAGAGTGGCAACACTGTCAAAGTTATAAATGCCAAAATCAATTTATTTAAGACGAAGTTGTAGAGATATTATAGCAAAAAAAATATGTATTGTTTAATTTTTAGATTTACCGTTTAACTGGCTTTATCATTGATGAACTAAGCGAAATAGTTGTGGCTGTTTTTGTGTGAAATTTGAGGGCAATAATTATATTTTGTAATATTACAATAAGTCGGAGAACGTATTGCATTAGTAACACATGCCACATGAACAAATTTAACAACCCCAATGTGGCGTTCTTTAATTAACCACTATTATTCATGTAAGTAACACAAATAGTAATTATTTTTTGTCACAAAGTAGGTATTTATGTATTATTTATTGTTTTAGAACAAGAAAATGGCTTCAAAACGTTAGAAAGATTTGATATAGAAAGAAAAATATCTGAATTCCCATTATTGAATTTGCAATCAACATTTTTAAATAAGATACCACTGGCTATTCGTTTGGAAAATAAAAACAAATGCAATGTTACAAATAACAAAACAAAAATATTTATCATAAATACAAATTTACAATAATTAATCGATAATAGACTGTAAGTGTAGTATTCTTTTTAATAAATAATTTAGCGTAATTACATTGTTTATTTACAAGAACATGAGAGTACAGTCGATATTTATACAATCTTTATTATCAGGTTTTTAAATTTCCCGCTGCGTTGTTTGATATCGATGAAAGCGCCACATAGTGGGTCAGATGTTAACTGCGATAAAGCTAATCGTTGTTAAGCATTGGCTTCTTATGGGCGTTTCCTATCTTTATCTCCCTTATCTCTGGTATTTTCTTTAGTTGTTTTTTTTTTTCGTTGTAAACATTTTTATAAATAGATAAATAAGTTATCATGTCAAAGCCTTTTGTTTTTCATTCCAATTAAGTTATATTATGCTATGCATGTATCTATTGTACAATTTTTTTGTCGAAATACCATTTTTCTACTCTACTTATACGATCTCTCAAAAAAAATATTTGGCAACACCGGTCTCTCTACAAACGACGTAGACCTGTAGTTAACATCTGAGACGCTAGATGACGCCATTGTTGCTGCGGTCGTTGCGTTTCCAATCTTTATGTCCCTTATCTCTGCATAGAAGTAACTGTCATTTATTTTTACAAACTGTCCACTGCTGTCCACATCTACCGTCTCTCTACAAACGACGTGTACCTTTAGTTAATATCTGAGTCGTATAGATGATGCCATCGTTGCTGCGGTCGTTGCTGCAGTCGTTGCGTTTCCTATCTTTATGTTCCTGATCTGCGGCCTTGGAGTAAAAATGTAGGCAATTATTTGTTTTTTAAATATTCAAAGGCTGTAAATTGGTTTTAAAACACACGTTTGCTAAACCGATTCAACCGAGTCAACTTGTTTTGTAGGAGTGACTGATACAGCTTAATTATTGTATCACACACAGTTGTTTTTATTACAATAATATTTTATAAATACGATTCTGTCGTAAAATAACTTCCTAATACCTTTTAAATAGACAAAATCAATTCCCAGAACCTAAGTGAGTCAATGTAAATAATCAAAATCGCCTATTTATGGGTGAAAAATGACAGGTGCGCGAATATTATTTTGAATAGCAAATCGACCACGTTTGATGCTTGCAATAATCCACATCCAAGTGTAACTTTTTAATTTTAAAATTACCAGGTTGTGGTAGGTACGTAAATTAATACTGCCAAAGTTTAAGACAGTAATTTTGTAAATATTTTTTGTTAATATTCATCTAGGTCAGTACTGCTAGTCTGTTGAATTTTGTATAATCTAGATAATTAATTAATATTATCACACGTACGCTATTTTTTGACTGAATATGTTTAGCTTTGGTAGGCGCCTCCTGCGGTTTTCCGACCTCTTTCTTTTTCTTGTTCTCCTGCGATGTTTGTCTACTGACATAAGTCTGATAAACCGCCTCCAAATCGTCTGGCGGAATTTCTTCCAAAAATTTTGGCTTCGGTTTCGCCGGATATTTGTTCAGGACGTTTGAATCGAACTTAACCAATCGAGTACGTTTCGCCCAAATGTCATCAAACCTTTCAAAAATCAACCTAAATAAAAAAAAAATAACTTTTTTGTAACGATAGGGTCTATTCTGTAAAAGTTTGGTTAAAATTAACCCTGGGTAACAAAAATAACTGGGTGTTATTTTTAATTTTGTATTTTGTTTTATTTGGTTAAAATAATAAATCTAGTAATGTATAACTGACAAATATATTGTTTTTCTTATTTTTAATGCTGCATTGGTCTTACTTTTAATTTACTTTCAAGGTATATTACTGTCATGAATTCATAATCCTACCCTGTGTACGCACGCAACCGACTCGTGATCGAAGCAACGCTGACGTGTGGAAACAGCCGGACCGCTTCTCAAATATACAAGAAACGACGAAATGCCTGCCGCTGATGCCCTAGAAACAGCTGGAACGGCGGAGAGTGCCGGTTAGTCATAGAATGGAATCTTCGCGAGCCTCTAGCATTTTCCAGTCGCGGATTTGGACTAATATAAATAGCCGACGTATCAGCGCCGAGTGTAGTTTAATATAGAACATTGTATTGTAAAGTTATAGTGTAAGAAATAAATTAGAATTGTTAGTTAGTGTCTAAATATTATATAAATTAAATAGTACGTCTGAAATAAATTGTAAATAGTATGTTTTTAAATAAATAAACTTTAAATAAATCAGAATATCGTCACATTGGTGTTATAAGTGGAACTTTAAATAAATAGTTTAAAAGTAACCGAGCTACGTCGGGAGTTAGAAGATCGTGAGCTGGAGACGACAGGGAAGAAAGCAGAGCTGGCAGAACATCTTAAGGAAGCACTAGAAAGTGAGGGTTTGAATCCGGAAACGTTTCTATTTTCGGATGATGCGTGTTCTATAATTTCTTCAATTTCCGATTTAAAAATGATATGTCTTCTATAAAAACCGATATTTCTACTAACATTTCCTCATTAGAAACTAAAGTTTCTTCAGACATTTCCTCTTTAGAAAATAAAGTTTCGTCTGATATTTCTTCTTTAAAAACGAAATCTCTTCTTTAGAAACTAAAGTTTTTTCTGATATCTCCTCTTCAAAAGATGAAATTTCTTCCGACTTTAAATAAAATGTCTTCTATGGAAAATAAATTTTTGTCTAATATTTCTTTCTTAGAAGAAATGTCCGAAATGTCTTCTTTAAAAAACGAAATTTCTGCTGATGTGGAAAATAAGATGACTTCTGTTGAGGAGAAAATAATTTTTTCCGTTGAAGAGAAAATTGAGATGGAAAAGAAGATAGAAGAACTGGAACATTCAGAACCTGTCAAGGACGGTGAAATAAAGTGCCATGAAGTTAAAATTGGAGGAAGCTGTAAACTCTGCTCGTGTTAAAGCCCCAACCTTCGACGGAAAGATGTCATGGACCAACTACCTTTAAACAGTTCGAGACAGCTGCGAGAACAAATGAATGGTCTGGACAATCGCCCTTAGGAGACGCTTTAAATGTCCTTCAGACTATACCCGTGGAAGAGACAGATGATTTTGAACAACTGAAAAAGAGACTGAACATGCGATATGGCCAAGAACATTTGGAGCATCTATACCAATCACAGTTAAAGAATCGCAAACAGAAACGAGACGAGACCCTTCAATAATATGAAGTAGATATTGCCAGATTGGTGCGACTTGCCTACCCATCAGCTCCGGAAAACGTGATGGAATGTTTAGCAGTCCAAACATTTGTTGATGGGCTCCGTGACCACGAGATGCAGAAAACACTTCGCTTAGCCCGCCACAAAACATTGGTCGATGTCTTGTCCGCTGCTTTAGAGTATGAGGCAGCTACGCAGGCTTCTGGAGGATACACTAAAGTGAGAACTGTAAAAGAAGAAAACGAAAGATAAATTCGACCAACTAGTTAACATAATGAAGACCTTTACTGATAAAAATATGAAGACAAAGACCATCAGATGCTGGAATTGTGGTGAACTGGGGCATGAACGCAGCTTGTGCAAACGCCCTAGGATCCCAACAACTGAAGACAACACGCCGCAGGAAAACTAGAGCGGGTCGACCTAGAGGGGGGCAGCTTCGACCCGAAACCGTTCCAAAGACCCTCTCATACTGATAGCCTTTTTGAAATGTCGCGATTATAGTGTATACGTAGATGGCGAAGTAAATGGTAAAAACTATACAATGTTGGTGGATACTGGAGCAACTAGGACCATTATACGACCAAAAACCATAAAGAACTGTAAAAGACTTCTACCAACAAGATTGCGACTGCGGACTGCCACAGGTAAAAGTCCCAACATCCATGGGAAAATCCAGGTTCAATTGAGAATTGGTACAGAAAAGTTCACTCATACTGTTATTATCGCTGATATTGAAGAAGATGTGTTCTTGGAATGGATATAATGAACTTACATGGTTTCCAGTTGGACTTTTAAAACAGAGTGATCAAAGTTAGTGCCGAAAAGGTACATCCATATGGGGACAGTACCGTGCCAGTTGCTGTACAAGAGGATACGGTGGTACCTGGCAGAAGTGAAACCGTTATAGTGCACGGCTTCAAGAAACTATGGAAGAAGGAACACCTGTAATGGTGGAACCTTGGAACCACGATGAAGAGGTTGGACAAGGCATTCTGATCGGAAAGGGGTTGGTCACGACTGCTAAAGAAATTTCAGTTCGTCTCATAAACGTTAATGATCACCCGATTACCATTAAGAAAGAGACCAGACTCGGAACTTGTGTACCAGTAACTTCCATAATTCGTCAGACAACAACTTCTGATAATTCCAACGACAAATTCGATTAAATGATTGCAGTTGCTGGTCAATCTCTGAATTAATCAGAAAAGCAGAAAATAAAGGAATTTCTTCGACGATATCGTGACATTTTTGTACCAAAAAGAGGAAAAACAGGAAGAACTTGTGTTGTAAAACACAAAATTGACACTGGTGACGCCAGGCCGATTCGTCAATCAGATCGAAGGTTACCAAAGGCCAAGAGAGAGGAAGCTGAAAGGATTGTTTAGGAAATGAAGGGAGACAGGGCAATAGAACATTCTACCAGCCCATGGGTCTCTCCGGTAGTCCTGTTCCAGAAAAAGGATGGAACTACGAGGTATTGTGTGGATTACCGTCAGTTGAACAATGTTACCAAGAAAGACAGTTACCCTCTGCCTCGTATCGACGATACCTTGGACACATTGGCCGGAAGTAAACTATTCTCTACCTTAGACTTAAAGACTGGATACTGGCAGGTGGAAATGGACCCAGTAGACAAAGAAAAGACAGCTTTTATTACCAGATCTGGATTGTGGCAATTCAATGTTATGCCATTTGGATTATGTAATGCCCCAGCTACATTTGAAAGACTAATGGAAAATGTATTGAGAGGGTTATCCTGGAAAACATGCCTGGTGTATTTAGACGACATCATAGTCTTGGAGAAGACATTTGATGAACATCTTAAAAACTTAGAAGATGTTTTTAAAAGACTTCAAGCTGCCCAACTGATGCTAAACCCCAAAAAGTGCCAACTATTTCAAAATAAAGTTAATTACCTGGGTCATGTAGTCAGCAAGGATAACGTGGCTGTAGATAAGGAAAAAGTTGCTTCTATCAAAAAGTGACCACCACCAAAGGATAAACACCAAATAAGAAGTTTTCTTGGGCTGTGTACGTACTACCGAAGATTCATAAAGAAGTTTGCAGATATTGCTAAATCACTATCGCGACTCACAAAAGAAGCAAGATAATTCTGCTGGGACGAAGACTGCCAAACTGCCTTCGAAACTTTAAAAAAGCATTTAACAACAGCGCCAATATTAGGCTATCCACTACCAGAGGGAGAATTTATCCTGGATACTGATGCCAGTAATGTGGGAATTGGAGGAGTGCTTTCACAGATTTAAGGGGGAAAAGAAAGAGTACTGGGTTATTTTAGTAAAGTGCTCTCGAAATCTGAACGAAATTACTGCGTCACGAGAAGAGAACTCCTGGCAGTTGTGAAATGCCTATATGGAAGGAAATTCTTAATCCGTACCGATCATGTGTGTTCCCACTGCAACAAAGCAGAATCCAAAGAAAGTGGACTACTTAGAACAACGGTAGTCAACGATGAGTGGGTCCCTGCTAAAATTAGGGAAGAACAAGAAAACGATACCGTTTTAAAGAAGATGCGACAATGGAAAGAAGAAAATCGTCGACCTACTTGGCAAGAAGTATCTAATCTCTCTCCAGTACTTAAGTCGTATTTGGCTCAGTGGGACTCCTTTATCCTGGAAGATGGCTTATTAAAGCGAGTACTTGAAAATGATGATGGTTCTGAGAACAGAAGACAGTTGGTCGTTCCAAGGAGTAGAGTAGCCGAAGTACTTCGTCAGTTACACGGCAGTCCATCAGGAGGACATCTCGGTATTAGAAAAACCCTTCAGAGAGTTCGGAAAAGGTTTTATTGGATGAACAGATCCGATGATGTTAAGGACTGGTGTAAGAAATGTACCAGCTGTGCTATGAGTAATGGACCTCAGCGAAAAAGGAAGGCTCCCATAAAGCAATATAACGTTGGTAGCCCATTTGAGAGGACCGCCTTAGATATTGCTGGACCATTCCCCATGACCGAGAATGGTAATAAATACATGATGGTGGTTATGGATTACTTCACGAAGTGGGTGGAAGTCTACGCCATTCCAAATCAAGAGGCCGCAACTGTTGCAGATGTGTTGATAAGAGAGTTTATCTGTCGATTTGGAGTGCCCTTGGAGATCCACGGTGACCAAGGCAGAAATTTTGAAAGCCAACTCTTCCGTGGAATCTGTGACAGAATAGGCATGAAGAAAACCCGAACCACAGAATTGCACCCACAATCTGATGAAATGGTAGAGCGAATGAATAAGACCATTGGAAAATATCTGTCAAAAGTGGTTTCAAACCATCAGCGAGATTGGTATCTTTCGCTCTTTGCAATGGCTTATAGATCCGCTGTCAATGAATCAACAGGCCAAACATCAGCAAAGGTCCTGTTTGGGCGTGAGATGAGACTGCCGTGCGACCTTGAGTT